CCCAGAGCAAGTAGCAGGAAGGAAATAGTAAAAATCAGAGCAGAAATAAATAACATAGAGATAGAAAAAACAATTCGAAGGATCAATAAAACAAAGAGCTGGTTTTCGAAAAGATAAACAAGATTGATGGATCCTTAGCTAGACTCACCAAGAAACAGAGAGAGAACCCAAAACACAAAATCAGAAATGAAAGAAGAGAGGTAACAACTGACACCACAGAAGTACAAAAGATCGTTAACAACTACTATGAACAATTATATGACAACATATTCGACAATCTAAGCAAAATGGACAAATTTCTAGAAACACATAGTCTCCCAAAATTGGACCAGGAAGAGATAGAAAACTTGAACAGACCAATAACAACAGAAGTAATAGAAGATGTAATCAAGACTCTCCCAGCAAACAAAAGACCAGGCCCAAATGGCTTCACGGGGGAGTTTTACCGAATTTTCAAAGAAGAACTAACACCCATTCTCCTCAAAGTATTTCAAAAAATTCAAGAAGAAGGAAGACTTCCAAAGTCGTTTTATGCAGCCAGCATAATTCTAATTCCAAAACCAGAAAAAGACACAACAAAGAAAGAAAACTACAGGCCAATATCTCTGATGAACATAGATGTCAAAATCCTGAACAAAATATTAGCAAATCGGATCCAGCAATACACCAAAAAAATTATCCACCATGACCAAGTGGGATTCATCCCAGGAATGCAAGGCTGGTACAATATTTTCAAATCAATAAATGTGATACACCACATAAATAAAATGAAGAATAAAAGCTACATGATCATATCAATAAATGCCCCAAAAAGCCTTCGACATAATCCAGCATCCATTTCTGATAAAAACGCTCAGCAATGTGGGAATAGAGGGATCCTATCTCAACATAATAAAGGCCATATATGAAAGACCTACAGCCAACATCATATTCAATGGGCAAAAACTAAAAGCAGTTCTCTTAAGAACAGGAACAAGGCAAGGATGCCCACTTTCGCCACTCTTGTTTAACATAGTACGGGAAGTGTTTTTGCCACAGCAGTCAGACAGGAAGAAAAAATAAAAGGGATCCAAATTGGAAAGGTGGAAGTGAAATTGTCCTTATTTGTAGATGACATGATGGTATACATAGAAAATCCCAAAGACTCCATCAAAAGTTTAGCAGACTTAATAAGTGAATTTGGCAAAGTAGCAGGATACAATAATAACGTCAAGAAAACTATGACATTCTTATACACCAACGATGAACTCATTGAAAGAGAAACTAAGAAAATAATCCCATTTACCATTGCGGGAAAAAAAAAAAATTAAGATACCTAGGAATAAACTTAACCAAGAAATAAAGGACCTATTCACAGAAAACTACAGGTCATTGAAAAACGAAATAGAGGAGGATATAAAAAAAGAGGAAGCACATACCCTGTTCATGGATTGGGAGAATTAACATCATTAAAATGTCCATATTACCCAAAGCAATCTATAGATTCAATGCAATCCCCATCAAAATACCAGCAGCACACTTCACAGAATTATAACAATTACTTTAATAGTTCATAAGGAACCAAAAAAGGCCTCGAATAGCCACAGCAATCTTGAAAAGGAAGAACAAAGTTGGAGGGATCACAATACCAGATTTCAGGTTATACTACAAAGCCACTGTAATCAAAACAGCCTGGTACTGGCACAAGAACAGGGATATAGACCAGTGGAACAAAACAGAGAACCCAGAAATGGACCCAAGGCAATATGCTCAATTAATATTTGACAAAGGTGGCAAGAGCATACAGTAGAGTAAGGATACCTCTTTAATAAATGGTGCTGGGAAAATTGGACAGCTACTTGCAGGAAAATGAAACTAGACCATCAACTTACACCCTACACAAGAATAAACTCAAAATGGATAAAAGACTTAAATGTGACTCATGAATCCATAAAAATCCTAGAAGAGACTGTAGGGAACACAATTTCAGACATCATACGCAGCAGAATTTTTACTGACACATAACCTAAGGCAATAAAAACAAAGGAGAAAATGAACACATGGGACTACATCAAACTCAAAAGCTTCTGCACAGCAAAAGATACAATCATCAAAACGGAAAGGCTACCCACTGTATGGGAGAGCATAATTGCCAATGATATGTCAGATAAGTGCTTAATTTCCAATACATATACAGTGCTCATACAATGCCACAAAAGGAAGACAAAGAATCCAATTAAAAAATGGTCAGAGGAACTAAATAGACACCTCTCCGAACAGGACATACAAATGGCTAAGAAACATATGAAGAAATGCTCATTATCGCTAATCATCAGAGAGATGCAAATTAAAACAACAATGAGGTATCACCTCACACCTGTCAGAATGGCCGCCATGAATAAATCACAATCAACAAGTGTTGGTGAGGGTGTAGAGAAAAGGGGACTCTAGTACACTGCTGGTGGGAATGCAGACTAGTGCAGCCATTATGGAAAACAATATGGTGTTACCTCAAAAAATTAAAAATTGAACTTCCATTTGACCCAGTGATCCCACTTCTAGGAATATACCCTAAGAAGCCTGAAACACCAATCAGAAAGATATATGTACCCCCATGTTTGTAGCAGCACTATTTACAATAGCTAAGATCTAGAAACAGCCCAAGTGTCCAGCAGCAGACGAATGGATAAAAAATCTGTGGTACATATGCACAATGGAGTACCACGCAGCTGTAAGAAAGAAAGATCTCTTATCCTTTGAGACTACATGGAGGGACCCGGAAAGTATCATCCTAAGTGAAACAAGCCAAACAGAGAAAGACAAGTTTCATATGATCTCACTTATTTGTGGAATATAATGAACATAACAGTCTGAGGAATGGAGTAATCCCAGAGACATGGAAGTTGGGTACAGACTGACAATCCCCAGAAGAGGAGGGTGGTGGGAGAGAGATAAACCACAGAACTTATATGCATGTATGCATGAACAGTGGACATGGACAACAAACTGGGGAAAGGGCAGGACGGGAGGGGGAGTGGGGAATCAGTGGGGGGAAAAGGAGAAACATCTTAACAAAATTAATTAATAAAAAAAAAAATAAAAGAAAAAAAAGTATAAAAAAAATCTCAGACAGTCTTCAAAACGCTATTATAACTATACTTTGTGAGGTTAAAAAAAAATTAACATACTAAATAAATGGAAAGATTGAAAAAAATCTCATCTGAGAAATGGAAAGTATAGAAAAGAACCAAGTGGAATTTTTAAACCTAAAATATATATCTTCAATGAAAATATCCTGGGTAGGTTCTATAGCAGAATGAGGGTAACAAAGAAAAGAGTCAGTAAAGTTGAACACAGATTAATAGAAAATATACAGTTTGAAGGATAGAGGACATTTAAAAAATTAACTAAGTATCATGGGCCTGTGGAACAATATCAAACAATTGAACATTTGTGTCATTGGAATCCCAAAGGAGAGGAGAAAACGATTGGTGGAGAAAAAAACGTTTTATTTATTTTTTATTTTTTTATCCTCACCTGAGGACATTTTTCCATTTTTTGTACAGATAGAGTGGGAGGGAGAGAGAGGAAGAGAGAGAGAGAGAAACATCGACGTGAAAGGGACACATTGAGTGGCTGCCACCCGCACAACCAACCAGGGACGGGGACAAACTGCAACCGAGGTACATGCCCTTAGCGGGAACCGAACCCGGGTCTCTCCAGACCGCAGGCGGATGCTCCAACCGCTGAGCCAAACCGGCCAGGGTGAAAAAAACGTTTTAAATGATAACAGCAATTTTTCAAATTTGTAGAAGACAAAAATTTAAAATTCAAGAAGCATAACAAAATACAGTATAAAGAAACTCATACCCTGAAGAAAACAACACTTTACATATAAATATATATATATATATTACATATAAAATATATATATATGTATAAAATTTAAATTCCTCTGGAAAATGTTAAAAACAAGCTATGTTATTAGGTATCCACAAAGTATCTCGGTAAGTGACTGGCTGGACCTGTATAGTAACCCATCCTTCTTTCTATTATGCCATGGGTATTCTCTAAACAAGTCTGTGCCTTGACTTTAACACTGTTCTTGCCTGGGCATGGCTCCACCTTAAATGTCCAGTCCCCCACATGACACACATGGAAACTGCTGAATTGACACTGCTTAGAAATATTGTTCCTGCTTGTGAAGGGGTTCAGAACAGGCTTCCCAAAAATGTTCTAACTGGCATTTAAGAGCTCAAGAGAAACTCCTACCTGTCCCTTAAAGAATTTAAGTTTAGGGCCTTCCTAATATTAAGAGTTATCATCAGAAATAACTTCTTAAGACCTATCTACAGGGCAGGGCACTCTCCTAATTATTAAAACATCTGTTCTTCTTATCATCCTGCAAATGACCCTCCTCCCTCTTGAAGCCTCAGGGTCAGGGTCTCTGACTCTTTCATGTATGTAATTTAATGTGGTTATTTTCTCTTGTTAATCTGTCTCATATCAATTTAATTATTAGGCCAGCTGGAAGAACCTAGAGGGGTAGAGGAAAATGTATTTCTCCCCTACAGTTGCACAGTTAGAAATATACTTACATAAAAATCAGCTTCTGAAAACCATCCATTATCTATTAAGAGTTTGCACCTTCATTTTCAGTGATCAATTTCTAACTTAAGGGACATTGATTGGAAGAGTTTTACAGATGCAATTGCCAGGAACAAAGTGAAGTGCAGTGAGGAACCAGCAGCGGTGTTCAAGACATGACGGGAAGTGGAGAATGTGATCACTCAGGTTACTGAAGGGCAGCAATGAGCAGGTTGCTGTTAGCTTAAAATGGCTCTGCACAGACTGGCTACAAACTTTATTAAAGTGACTATTGGGCCTTTAAATTTAAATATCATACTTATAATAAATAATTAAGTAGGAATTCTTGCTAATTTCTGGTTTTCCTCTGTTTTCATGAGTTTCCAACTGCCTAGCCTGTTGTGATAGTGACAGCTGAGGCCAGATCACCTTACCTTGTTTGTCATCCCCATCATCTTCTCCCTCTGCTGGGAATGCAAGCCCTGCTGGTAACCTGACCTCCATGGTACTGCCATCCTGAGCAGCTACCCCAACTTCTTTCCACTTGACATGACACCCTTTTCCTCTTTTTGATACACTCTGAATTCTTGTCACCTGGAAACAAACAAATAAAAAATTTAAGCCCTCACCAAATGGTTTTTTTTTCCACTTCTAAAATCTGGCTCTGCCCTCCAAGTGGTACATTCCCCTTTTCCAAATCTCTCTTTATCTTCAGGGTAGTCAACATTTTTCTATTACTTTTCTGAAAGTCAATATTCCTCCCCTGTGAGGCCCGTGCCAACAGCTCTGCTATACTGTTTCTTAATCTTCACCCTCCTATCCTGATCATCTCCGGTAAGGTCTCATAGGTCTCTAGGAACTCTTCATCTGTGCTCTAAACTCACTGCTCCTCCAAGCCTCTCCTTACATAGCCTCCAATCTTTAGCTTATGCTGGTACTTCCTCCTGGCTGCTCACTCATCCCAATAACAATCTCCTGATCTGCCTTTGGACCCAAGTTTTGAGTCACCTCTATAAAAGAATCACAGTTAGAGAAAAAGTGGTGGTGGAGGGAATGGAAGCTACACAGACCATCCCCAGGACCAAACTGGAATTACAACTAAAATAAAGACAAATCATCAAAAAAAAAAGGCAACAGAAAAGCAGCTGGAGAGAACCAATATAACCAGGGACAAAAAAAGGATGCTGAATCAAGACTGGTAGGTCTGCAGAGGTGTCAGAGGGTGAGCTTGGAGCCCACAGACAGCAGCTGCTTCAGCTGTGAGCAGCTCCCTTGGGGTTAAAATCCCAAGCAAGCTCCACAGCACAAAGGATTGGGATAGAGCACTAAATTAGCTACAGCCACTCACCTTGGGCTCTGGCAGAGGGAGGATGGACTGAACTGGAACTGTGTGGAGACACTCCAAATTTGGAGGGCACTCAGAATTTTTGCTGAGTCACGGCCACACAAAACAGTGGTCATCATGCTCTGGGAGCCTCTTCCTAGAGCTCTGGGAAGAAGCAGCAGCCCCTCCCTCAGAGATTTAACCCCACCCAGCTGGGGCAGAGAAAAGCAAATTGAGGCTCATTAAAATCCAGCATCTACCCTTCCCTCTAAAAATCCTCTTATGCTAAACATCTGAGGGAGTTTTTTTATTCAGCTGAAAGCTACAACCCAAAGCTCATCAAGTAACTGAGACTAATAGCCTCAAAGCAAAAAGCTAGAAGAAACTGAACCTTTCCTGGGCTTTCAATCTACCCAGGAAAATAGGACTTAACAATGGTGTTTAATGTGGTTCTCCCACACTCATCCAAACCCAGGAGAGGGAGCCACAAACAGCAGAACACCAACACACACAGGGAAAATTTGGCAGGCTCCTAAATCCACTGAGATAGCCAAAATGGTAAAACAAAGAAACAAATCCCACATGAAAGAGCAAGAGAACTCTATTGAAGATGAGATCAATGAAATGCAGTTAAGCAAGTTATCAGAGGTAGAATTCAGAGCCATGACCTTGAGGAAGCTCAACAGCATGAGTAAGAACATCAACACCATGAGTAAAGATATAGAAACATTGAAAATCAACCAATTGGAAATAAAAAACCACCAAGAAGAAATGAACAATGACATAGCAAAAAATAAAAAAACACATTGGAAGAAATAACTAGCAGAGTAGAGGAAGCTGAGGACCAGATAAGGGAATAAGAACACAGGGTAGAAAAAAAATCAACCAATCAGAAAAACAAAAGGAAAAAACAGAAAAACAGCTCAAGAGAACTGTGGGACAACCAGAAATGTAACAGCATTCGCATCACAGGAGTTCCAGAAAAAGAGGAAAATGAGCAAGGGTTAGAGAATATATTTCAAGAAATAGTGACAGAAAACTTCCCTAACGAGGTGAAGGAAGGAGACTTTCAAGTTCAAGAAGCCCAGAGAGCACCAAGAAGGAAGAAACCAAAAAGGCTCACACCAAGACACATAATAATTCAAATGCCAAAAATTAAAGATAAAAGAGAATCCTAAAGGCAGCAAGAGATAAGCAACAGGTTACCCACAAAGAAACCCCAATAAGGCTATCAGCTTACTTTTCAAAAGAAACCAGAAGGGAAGGGCATGAAGTAATCAAGGACATGAAGAACAAGGATCTGAATCCAAGACTACTCTATTTACCAAGGCTATCATTCAAAATAGAAGGTCAAATAAAGAGCTTCCCAGACAAAACAAAGAAAAAAAAGCTAAGAGAATATATTAACACCAAACAAGCATTGCAAGATATGCTAAGAGGACTGCTGTAATTAGTAGAAGAAATAGGAAGAAAAATATAACCACAATAAACAAAAATGGCAATAAATGGCAATAAATTAATAAGTACATATAAATAATCACCTTAAATGTAAATGATTTGAATGCTCAGATCAAAAGACACAGAGTAGCTGATTGGATAAGAAAGCATTACTCACATATATGTTGTTTACAAGAGACCCACCTCACAACAAAAGACTCACATAGGTTGAATGTGAAAAGATGGAAAAAAATCTCCAAGAAAACAGAAAGGGGAAAAAAATGCTACTGTAGGAATACTCATATCTGATAAAATAGATTTCAAAATGAAGGCCATAACTACAGACAAAGAAGGCAACTACATAATATAGAAAGGATCTATCAAACAGGAAGATATAACCTTGGTAAACATATATGTACCCAATATAGGAGCACCAAAATATATTTTAAATCTGGAGAACTTCAAAGGAGAAATCAACAGCAATGCAATCATAGCAGGGGACTTCAACACCCAGCTGACATCACAGGATAGATCCTCTAGACAAATAATTAACAAGAAAACAGAGACTCTAAAGGATGCACTAAATCAAATGGATATAATAGATATCTACAGAGAATTGGACGCCAAAAATGCAGAATTCACATTCTTCTCAAGTGCACATGGGACATTCTCAAAGATAGACCACATGTTAGGACACAAACAAAATCTCTACAAGTTCAAGAGGATTGAAATAATATCAAGTATCTTCTCAGATCAAATAACATGAAACTAGAAATTAATTGCAACAAGAACATGCAAAGACATTTGAACACATGGAGGCTAAATAGCATGTTATTAAACAATGAATGGGTTACCACGAAGACCAAGGAAAAAATTAAAAACTTTCTGGAAACCCATGAAAATGAACACACAACAACACAAATTCTATGGGATGCAGCAAAAGCAGTTCTGAGAGGGGAGTTCATAGCACTTCAGGCCTACCTCAAGAAACAAGAAAAATTTCTAATAGATTATCTAATCTCACAACTTAAAGAACTAGAAATCAAACAGAAAAGAAAATTCCAGAACAAGTAGAAGGAAAGAAATAGTAAAGATCAGAGCAGAAATAAATGACATAAAGACAAAAAAAAAAAAATTAATTCAAAAGATCAATGAAACAAAGTTCTGGATATTCAAAAAGATAAACAAGATTGGTGGAAGCTTAGCTAGACTCACCAAGAAAGAGATGGTGAAAACCCAAGTACACAAAATCAGAATTGAAAGAGAAGTAACAACTGACATCACAAAAAATACAAAGAATCATTAAAATATACTATGAAAAATTACACAGCAACAAATTGAATAATCTAAGAGAAATGGACAAATTTTTAGAAACCCATTGTCTCCCAAAATTGAACCAAGAAGAGATAGAAAACTTGAACAGACCAATAACAACTAAGGAAATGGAAGATGTTAAGAAACTCCCAGCAAACAAAAGCACAGGCCAGGACAACTTCATGGGGGAGTTTTCCCAAACATTCAAAGAACACCCATTATCCTCAAACTATTCCAAAAAAAAATTCAAAAAGAAGGAAGACTTCTAAACTTGTTTTATGAGGCCAGCATAGTTCTGATTCCAAAACCAGAAAAAGACATGACAAAGAAAGAAAACTACAGGCCAATATCCCTGGTGAACATAGATGCCAAAATCCTGAACAAAATTCTAGCAAATTGGATCCAACAATACATTAAATAAATTATTCAACAGGACCATGTGGGATTCATCCCTGGGATGCAGGCTGGTACAATATTCACAAATCAATAAATGTGATACACCACATAGACAAAATGAAAGATAAAAACCATATGATCATATCAGTAGATGCTGAAAACATTCGACAAAATTCAGCACCCATTTCTCATAAAAACACTCAGCAATGTGGAAATAAAGGGATCATATCTTGACATAATAAAGGCTATATATGAAAATCCTACAGCCAACATCATAGTCAATGGGAAAAAAACTAAAAGCATTTCCCTTAAGAACAGGAATAAGACAGGGATGCCCACTTTCACCACTCTTATTTAGCATAGTACTGGAAGTCTTAATCAAGGCAATTAGACAAGAAGAAAAAGTAAAAGGGACCCAAATTGGAAAGGAGGATGTGAAACTGTCATTATTTGCAGATGACATGATATTGAACATAGAAAACCCTAAAGACTCCATCAAAAATCTACTCGACTTAATAAATGAATTTGGCAAAGTAGCAGGATAAAAAACGACAAGAAATTGATGGCATTCTTGTACACCGAGGATGAACACACAGAAAGAGTAAGAGAAAAAAACAATCCCATTTACCATCACAGCAAAAAAATTAAGATACCTACAAATAAACTTAACCAAAGAAGTAAAGGACCTATTTGCAGAAAACTACAGGACATTGAAAAAAGAAATAGAGGATCTTGAAAACTGGTGTCGGAGTGAATGGAAGCTACACTGACCATGTTCCAGGACCAAACTGGAATTACAACAAAAATAAAGACAAATTGTCAGGGAAAAGTAACAGAAAAGCAGATTGCGAGGGCCATATAACCAGGGACCCTGACTCGATCCTGGTAGGTTTGCAGAGGTGAAAGAGGTGGGCTGGGAGCCCTGGGACTGCAGTGGCTTTAGCTGTGAGCAGCGCCCTCGGGTTAAACTCCCAAGCAGCTCCACAGCACAGAGTCAGGACAGACACTAAAATAGCCACAGCCACTTACCTTGAGCTCCATCAGAGGGAGGGCAGACTGGACTGGAACTGTGTGGGGACACTCAAGATTTGGAGGGTGCTCAGAGCTTTTGTTGAGTTGCAGC